CAACTGCTTCACTACGGACGAAATCGTAGAAACTGGACTTTTCACCTGGGCAAGTGAATTGTCTCCACACACATGACTCTGAGTCTGGAAAACCCGATTCATGCAGTTCTATGTGCAACTCCTAGCGGTTTAATTCACCTACTCAGCGTGCGAATTTGCGGAGAAAGCAAAAGTACATGTCGAAACTCTTTATGCACAATTTGGGGTTGGGTATACAGTATTGATAAAGCCCCCGCAAAAGTACACAGAGGTAAATGTGACCGGTCGCGTGGGATCTAGTACATGGTGACGGCATTGTTTGAACGAGGCATTTTGATACGGTCAATATTCTTCAGGATGATGTCATGGAGAGTAGCCTGTGCAGAAAAAGGGATCGATTAGATGTTTGAGTGACGATGTGTTTTGTCAGTAAGATGACCTACACTGCAAAAAGGCCTTCATTGGATATGGGTAGCCTTCCCAAAAATGCAAATAAAAAAGCGCACGGATTTACTTGACTGTTCCAGGAAGATAATGGACTGTTTGTATGTGAGCAAGGAAACAACCAACAGAAGAAATAGTTTAATCAAGATCAGTCCCAAGGGGCAAGATGTAGGACATAATGTAGGTAATAAATAATAATGATAATTGCTCAGCTGTAGCACCCTTTGGGTGCCTAGCTACCATGCCACACCAAGAAGGCACGAGGGCTGGGATACTGCCAGGTCGCCCAAGCCTAGACAGGGGAAGTCGAGTGGTAGAGGTCGGGTTCGAACCAAGGACCTTCCGGTCAATATATTTGCGCTCTAAACAATTGAGCCATCTCGACCCCTAATGTAGGTAAGTCAATGGCACGGTTGGATACCGCTTTCTGAAAACCCGAGATTGGCAACCGCTCAATCGGTAAAGAACCATGTTCCGACAATCTAACCGGAAAGAGGACCGAACCCCAGCAATGGCCCGATTCGGGACTTACTGCCACCTTCTGATCAGAAAACGTTAGACAGCTCGTCTGAAAGCCAGCTTTTAGGACGTGGCAAGGTCTGCATGTGTGGTAACTTTAACGGTGTGTGCACGAAACAGAACGATCCCACAAAAAAAGCCCCGGCCCCTCATCAAGCACAACCGAGCTTCTCGTGAGACTGAACATTCACTCAGTTTGGTAGATCGATAAATCAGCGTTTGCAGCCTTCAACCAACTCCATTCGACAGTACATGTGATGTTTTGCTTCTGTCTCCAACAGCCTGGTCAATAATGACGGGCAGTTGTTCGTATAGGAACAAAGACCTCAATTTTGAAAAGGCGTTGGACTGGTGGTCGTANAACCTGGTCAATAATGATATTGTACTTTGAAATACTTGCAAAATGAGTCACGTGCCAAGTGCGAATTGTCATCTAAACAGAGAGGATTTCGCGCTCTTCTTTAAGAATTATTGCATCTACTATTTGCAAAGAATATTTTGATCCCAAAACCACTGAGGGATCACATCGGTGGAGCCAGAAACTCGGTCAACTTCAATGACGGGTAGTTGTTCGTATAGGAACGAAGACCTCAACTTTGAAAAGGCGTTGGACTGGTGGCCGTACAACTCCTCCGATAGACCTTAGATTGCGATGGCACCCGAAAGCATAGGTTGAACACACACAAACAGCGCACGAGCAAGAACGGCACAAAGGTATGCGAATGACGGATGACAGCGCCCATGGTGCTAACTAGGAAGCTTGAATCAACTGAACGAGTTCCACACGGTCGAATTTATGCCTCAGCGCACTTGACCTACACTGATGTCCAGTGATCCGGCCAACCGACAACTGCTTTATCAAGCTGACCTCAGTGAGAATTTGTACAGAGGTCACTGCTTGCGGATGAACACAAGGTATGACGACAAATCCAGCAACTTATACATTCACAAAGAAACTGTTCTTGATAACAAATCTAGTTGGGTCTAACAGGCTTAAAAACAAGATTCGGGAGGGTCTATGTGAACTGGAATTGTTGCTAATTAGACCAATCCAGAAGAAGAACGGAGTAGGATAAGCGTGATAGAGCAAGTCGGTAAACGAGGATGTAAATGTGAAACCGAAATAAACAGTTCAGTCTGCACAAGTCGGGCCCATGAAAACTGAGAAACCAACGGAATCGATTAAAAAAATCCCGTAAACAAGAAACGGGTCGGTCAGGAGAAGCAACACAAAGTTTGATGAAATACGCAGAAAGTACACTCGGATAATTTAAAAAACAACTTCGATTCTGTGATACCCTTCAATCGTGATCGAACGAAATAGCTTTGACGAGAGTAGTTCTCGAAAACAGTTCAATTTGGGTTCAAGTAGAACATAAGGTTGACGGGCGCCTACCCGATGAGTCCCAAGAAGGGCGAAACCGGTCGTGGGCTGCCGATGACCTTTCAGTAACCTTGTGAGTAGTTTCCTTTGTGAAAATATACTGCGATATCTCGAATATCGTGCCAACTGAAACATGAGGTGGCCTGTATGGAGCACATTCAGTTGTAGAATATCATAAACGATAGATTCAGTTGAGTCGCTAGGGGAAACCAAATTGATTTGCAAATGAGTGTATTTGTCGAAAACAGTCCAATATGGGTTCAAGTAGAACATAAAGAAACTCGTGGACTGCGCCTATCTGATGAACCCCAAGAAGGGCGAAACCGGTCGTGGGCTGTCGGAGAGTTTTCTTTAAGTAGTAGTTTTCTTTAAGGGAATAGCTTTGTATTTTTCGTTCGGCGATTTATGAAGTTTTCTGAGCGGAACAACTGTGGTGCTGGAATCGGATACGGTGGTTGAGACCGTTGAATCTTATCCGCAGAGCGTTTCAAAACAAACCAAAACGCCAAACCGTGTAAAAACCAACCACTACGTTATCTGGGCGTAACATACTACTTATAACGTAACTGAGGTAACAGAACACGTCAGTGCCGGACTTAATTAAGACCCTGTTACAAAGTTGCAATTCGCGTTGAACAAAGATCGGCACGAAACACTGCGCGGTTTGTCTCATTTTGTGTGTGTGTGAGCTGAGTTCCAGTCCACGCACGCACAACATCCAAGGGTATCACCAAAACTTACGTAATGGTTCCGTATCTCCATTATGATGTAACGCATTGTGATCGCCTGTTTTTCATCCATATCCCGAATGCACTCGCGGTAGTCATCAATGTGAGGAAACTTCGCCACTTTGCCGATGAGTTTTCCTCGTGACGCAAAGTATCTGAAGATGGGAAGGTGCAGTCGCATTAGCAAGCGTGTGGACGCGAGTTCCAAACAGTCAGTAGTACCGCAGGGTAGCTTGTCTTACCTGGTGATCTGGTCCAAGAAGGTGCACGCATCACGCTCGATGCTGGACGCTTCGGACAATACTTCTTCTTGGATGCCCACACCAAAATTGTTGCCGTCCTCTATCCGAGGTATATTGTACTGCACCCATAACCGTACCAGCTGAGCTTCCATCATAAGCTGGGTCAAACACGGTTTGGTTTTCTTCGTTTGGTAGAAAAACACATGGGGGAAAGAAGGGATCAGCTACTCTGTGAAGCAGTTTCAAGCGATCTAAACGGTGAATTGATAATCTTGAGAATTGGTTTAGTCAACGGACGCGTTCTACTATGGTTCATCTGTAGCACCGTTTCGGTGTTTATTGCCCATGCCGCGCGACCGAAGCATGAGGACCAAGAAACTGCCAGGTTGCCCCAGCCTAGATGCGAGCAGTCGAGATGCAAAGGTTGGGTTTCCGGTCAGTGAATTCGCGCCTCAACAATTGAGCGATTTCGAGCTACAGGCTATAAAGAAACAACTCCGTCAGGTCTAGACAGTCAACACGGACAACCATGAGGTTATATGGCTGGATTACTTAAATTATCGACGTTCATTCATACGAGACTGGAAGGAGCAGGGGCTACTTCAAAGCCATTGAGCCTGATGGGATTGGGGGGCGTGCATCTGGGACGACCGTGCATGGTGATGTCAGGTGAACCAATCAGTAAGCGTTCCCCACTACTCGAAGACAGACCCCAGGCGTGACCACTTCAGTACGACGACCGTGGGGGACAACCCTGTGCCCCCCTCCCACCAGGTGCAGATGCCTGAAGCTATCGTATTATTGTTCAAGCCACATCCTGGGTTACCAAACACGACAGGATTGGGCACGGTTAGCATACCCATATTATCGACAGTAGTGAGCAGAAAACGGCTCACACTAGTGAAAACATGCCGCGAAGGTATCAGGTATTGCTAACACCGTTGATTAGCGAAGCGATGAAATCTGACCTACACTGGGGGGGGGGAGAGGAATACAGTTTTCGGGAAAGCCACCTGACTTGTTTTGGTAGATTATAAAACTGGCTATCAGTCAGATGTTGTCGCAACAGGTTGCTCTTACGGAGGCAACACGCATAAAAGACTACTGAAAACAAGAAGCCACACTCAGGTCACGTACAAATACGGCTTTTCAGAGACTTCCATCATAGATATTGTTAAATACCGCAGCCTCTCTCTGGCCAAGATATTTCAGGATGATACTCGTGGTCTTGTTCATAGGGGTTGCTTGTTTGGAAAGGAAGGCAAAATCTCTTTGCTACCTTCATTACAAAAAAGGCGAGCTATGTGCAGAAATACTTGCTAGTATGATCAATAAAAGTGGTTTTTACTCCCACAAAAATCCACGAAAACCACTCGGATCATTCCCAGTGAACAGTGTGCTTGAAAAGACGATTGTACAATCTCTCCGTTTCGAGATGATGAACTGTGTGCAATTCATTGGAACCGCTTAAATTTCACAGTAAACCGTACGGGTTTATGCCTAGCAATCCATCCACGCGGAATTCTATTTGTTCTGCCAACCTAAGAGCCGCCACAACTGCAAATGACCCGGAAAACTATGTGAAAGGTGTAACCCAGCCGAACTTAACTTGGTAACAATAACATTCGGTCAAAACGGACCCAAATATCATCTGCCATAGCACAACCTATCTTGAATACAAGCCATGTTGGTTGACCTCATCGTAATTCCAACTGCGTTCGTTTCAATCAACTAGATGTTGGCCAGTCGCCAGAGGCTAGTCTTGTATGAATCAATAAAACTTTAGAATAGTGTCTCGTTGTCAGGAGCACAGTATCTCACCGGACAAAGGTAGCTTCGAATAAATTACCTCACAATCCGTTCACACTACTATACTATTGAGAGTAGCAAAACACTGAAAACAGAATCCATGGCACCTTGGTTTATCCCGGCTGAGTGATTCGCTACAAACTCCATTTGATGCCTGCTACATTAAGCTGAACGACGTATGAGGAGTTAGTATTCAAGCCTGCAAAGGCTGGTTTGTGAAAAACGCGGCTAGAATCCAACAT